TCCCTTCCTGACACCGATCTTCTTTATTACTTTTCAGTCAAGTGTAGCAACAACATTGGTGGCTACAGACCCTACACCTGGTAATGTATGACTTATTTACATTGCAGTTTTAAGMAAACGCTTGATAGTTGCCCAGCTAGACTATACGTTACTAAATCAGGCGCGTAGCGTCCTTTGCGCATATACGCACGTGCGTACTAGTGTCAAGGAAAGATCAAAATTTTCCAAAAAATTATTAAAAATTCACATTAATTTGATGCGTTTTATATGCTCTGTATGTCCCCAAAACGCTGGAAATGCGATTTCCAAGAGTCATTATTTTAAAATTTCCCTTAAATACTTCCGCCTTCGGCGGTCAGTAGTATGGAAAGGCCGATTCTCCACGAGATGCATGGGGAATAAAATGGGGAATTTGCACGGCAGAACAACAGCTCCACGGGATGCATGGGGAATAAAATGGGGAGTACCACACTCCACGACGTGCATTGGGGATTAAAATGGGGATTTGTAGCGCAGCAGGGAACTTATGATTCATCCCTATTTTTAGAACGGTAGGACTCGGAGTCAATGACGTCATATCATTTCTTTTTCAATATATTCAAAAAAAGCGAGCATTTATTTTTGATTTCTTGAGATCCTTGTTGAAGAAGATGGCAACCCTCGAGGGAAAAATGATATTTTTGACTATGAGGATTACATTCAAGCGGGGGTTATTCTTGAAGACTTTAAAGACTTTCTTGATCAAGAAAAGGCTGAATAAATTGAAAAATCTCCTATATGAATAATGAGTTTTCAACCAGTAAATCTTGTCCGTTTATTGTGTTGTTGACTATGTATCATAATTTTATGATACGCACTGCGATCACTGATTTGAAAAGAGGTCAAGATGCATTCATTAACAGGTGACCATCTCTGGAAACAATAACTAACGCGTGTCAAGATTTTGATTTGCAGTGTAAGACAAAACAAAACAAATTTTGTTTAGTGATCGTGAATTGTACAATCTTTCTTGAATTTACGAATAATACGACTAAAATATGATAAATCAATTCTTATAAAGACCATTTTCAGTTTGGATATCCATGATGTCAATTGCCCTAGTTCATTATGACGTCACATCAAAACATTCTATTGTTTTAACGCTAAGGATTATGGTCGCCAGAAGGGATCAGAGTGACTGCATTTCAAATAWAATGTACATGAGCAAAGATTTATACATGATATATATCAAAACACGATTCACTGAAGTTCTACTTTAGTCGACGGTATAAATGGGTCCAAATTTCCGCTGTTTTGGAGCATCGTTTTCCGATGTAAACATACTGTGACGTCATAATGAAATAGGGCAATTGACATCACTCTCATAGTGTCAAGGTTTGCTTTTTATATATTTTGTTCTTCATACTATTATCATACTCCGCAGAAGGAGCTGCTTAAAAAAAGACTATTTAATGCAAGTTCACCGTTGAATCTGCTATAGTTGCACGATTGTAGAAAGATGATCGCATCCCCCCTAATATACTGTCAAAATACCAATATGATACATCATCAATTATTTTGGCTTTTGTTAACTCTATCATTACGTTTTGACAATAATCAAGCTGTGATGAGCACCCCCTATAACCACGGTGTAAAAGTGTCATCATCCTCATCAAGTTTTCGAGTTCACCTTTGTGAGCTGCCTTCATCTTAGTATTTTCAAGTTTCATCATATCCTCAAGAAAGTCCTTAAAGTCTTCAAGAATAACCCACGCTTGAATGTAATCCTCATAGTCAAAAATATCATTTTTCATCTCTTCCCTAATTTCCTCGAGGGTTGCCATCTTCTTCAACAAGGATCTCAAGAAACTAAAAATAAATGCTCGCTTTTTTGAATATATTGAAAAGAAATGATATGACGTCATTGACTCCGAGTCCTACCGTTCTAAAAATAGGGATGAATCATAAGTTCCCTGCTGCGCTACAAATCCCCATTTTAATCCCCAATGCACCCCGTGGGGTGTGGTGCTCCCCATTTTATTCCCCATGAATCCCGTGGAGCTATTGTTCTGCCATGAAATATGTACTTATTGACTGAGTGGGAGGGCCGTACGGGAAAATATTTGGCTCGAGGTTATGCCGTACGGACCGAGCGCAGCGAGGTCCGTACAAATGACCGAGAGCCAAATATTTTCCCGTACGGCCCGACCTAACTCAGTCAATAAGCATTTTATCATATGACAGCGTTTTTTAATGTAAAAAAAAAAATAAATAATAGCGCGCGGAACTTCAAGCCGGGAAAATACGGGTTTGTACGGACCTGTCGCGAAAAGGCGTACGGACCCCATCACGTGACCATTTTCCAAAGGTTTCAGTGAGAGCGCGCGTAGGGCCGAAATACGGGTCATATGATAATTCCCCATATTCCTCCTCATCTATTCCCCATGCATCCTGTGGATCTATTGTTCTTTCGGTCTTAGAATCGCCCTTTCCATACTACTGTGGTCGTTAGCGGTTAACCCCAATGCAAAATATGTATTTTGGTCCATGACACGAGCATACGAGCCAAAACGTCCACGCTACGCGCCTGCAAATCTATGTCCATCAGTTTTGGCATGTGTTGTTCATTCATTGTATGAACTTTCTGTTCATTGCCGCTCACGCTAAAAATACCATCGAAGAAAAAAACACCCAATCTAATACCTACTGTCGACTATTGGGTCGATGGGAATTTCATCTTTGGACTAAACGAACTAAAATTAAATTTCCTGCTGAAACTATGACATTGTTCTAAAACATGTTATATGTTTCATTTTGTAACATTAAGACTATACTTTACTAAAATTTAACTACGTAGTGTTTCTTAGTTGTGTGACTTATTATTATCTTGTTTAAGT